ACGATGATACAAATTTACATGGAGACTTGTGAAAATCGTGGTAAAATGGAAAGAGGAAGGGGTACAGATGTTTTCTGTTGTTTCAAAACAATTTGAAGGAGGAGAGCTGTTGAAAAAACGTCGGAGACCGAGAGTCGAGATGGCTCGAAAAGTTTGATTCCATTGTAACGTTTTTGCATGAAAAAAAAAAAAAAAAAAAAAAAATAAAAAAAAAAAAAAAAAAAAAAAAAAAAAATGATGGAGAGACACGTTCATCCACCTCTCAAAGTTTCACGTACAAAAGACTTTTGAGGTATCGTAATCTCATCGCGAGCGCAATTGCGGCACGAATATATCGTGAGATAAGATCTCAGCTACTCCATTTTAGCTCCCCAAATTAAATACTCTGCCATCCCCATCTTGCCTGTATATGGTCCCTGCACACAACCATCCACTCGCGCCTTTAAATAAGAAAAACGAGGACAGTTGAATAATGACGATGAAAAAAGAAAAATTGAATAGTATGGATGAACTTTGTCTGTGGCTTAATAGGCAATTTCCAATGTAGCGCGCAAAAACGGGGCGAACGTAGAAGCGACGAAAAAGCAAGCTCCCTCCAGCAGCAGGGTACAACATAGGTACGCGTACATACATATATATATATAATTATATGTTGTACAAAGTAAGCGCCGGAGGTAGCAATCGGGGGTTGGCTGGTATGCTGCCGAGACGCGTCCACCCCTTCCCTCGATATAGGTATACACATGTACGGAGCAAGGGAGGAACGCAGAGACAGGCTCGCTGATGGAGCTGGAAACCAAGTTAGCCTCCTCGTTTAACCCCGGCAAAAGCCAACCCCGGCGCCCTGGGGCTCTTTCTCGTTTCCCTCTTCCTCGAGAAGTTGCTTTCGGCTACACGTTCACGTATATAATACACGTAGAAGCATTTATTCGCTTTGTAAACGCGCGGTCCTTGTACGTATGTATATCGGTATGTATACATATTTATATCAGCGAAAGGTTTCGCCCCGCGGACATTTACATACGCGCGTTATGTGTGGGTTTTCTTTTTCTCTCTTCTCTTTGTCTTCTATACGCTATACAAGCGTGGATGTACTTCGTGAAGTCGCTTACCGGTTAACCCCTGGAAAACCCCTACTATCAAACGCTAGAAAAAATATGCATTGAAATTTTGCCTTGGCTTCAACACTGTAGATTTTTTCCACCCCTTTTTTTTCGTATACTTTAGTAAACAATTTGACAAAACATTGTCGGAGTTGCCGATTTTTTTTTTTTTTTTTTTAAACGGAGGTGTGCTTTTACAACAATGTACGTCACGTATTGCGAGTGTGTCAATCCAGTGGTGACTAGCTGTCTGTCGACTTGCGAAACGATAAGCAGTTGCTTGCCCCGATAAAACGGGGATCGCGTCATCAGTATTATACGCGTACAATATTCCATCGTAGTCTTTTCCCACTCGATTCGCTGACTTTTTTTTCCACTTGCGATAAATTCACTTGCAAAGTACATAACTCCGATGGCTTGTGTACATATACGTATGTCGGCTCGTGATTATATCTGACGCTTTATTTGTTCCTCGTGGCACGTATCGCTTGCTAATTTTTTATTTTATTTTTTTACAATTTAAATTTTAATGTTTGACTCTCAAGTGATGAAGTTTTGTATCGTTAGATCCGCCAAACCGTAATAATATCCAAAGTAATTTCATTGCTATTAAAAAAACTCGTTTCAACAGCCCACCATCACGGCTCCCGAAAAAAATAAAATAAAAAGCAGACCCCTACTGTTCCCAGGGCACCAACTTTACGGAAGCTCGTAAAATATTATCTAATGTTATACATCAGAGGCTGAATTTCGTCACACAAAAACGCAATCACACATCCATGCGAGACAGAGATCTCGTTTGAATGAGTGACTTTACTGAAGGAAAAAAAAAAAAAAAAAAAAAAAAAAAAAAAAAAAGTACACCAAACTACCGCTGCTGTTGCGCCCCGCCTCCACGATAATTGCACCGGATAAGCAGATGTCGAAGAGACGTCAGATTATAAAGCTATAGGTACCAGAGGGTCGTCAACAGCGGCGGCACTTTTGATACCATCTCACGGCTTCCATACACTTACACTCTGCGTCGGCATCACCGTAAATCTCTGTTTTATCCGAGGGCGTTTGCGTGTGGGTCTGCACGCGTCGTCCACTCCGGCGCCTTCTGTTTAACACTTTGTTATATGGCCATGCGCGAACGATGCGAGGTGGCGATCGATCTTTGTTCGATGCTTTATTTTTTTATTTTTTTTATTTTATTATTTTTTATTTATTTTTTTTTTTTTCTACATCCGTCTCGTAAAGTCGTACTAAAATATAGCCGTTGTGCGTATACGCAACATGCGCGAGTAGATCGGAAGAAAATGTGGTGCCAAAAGGATTCATTCGACTTGTTCCGATTTTTCAATCGTTATTATGCTTGTGCCATGTGTGTCGTATAGCGAAACTTGAGCAACGTCGAATGAGCGCATGAACATCGTAAAGGTAATATCATCGAAATAAAAAAATTGCGTTGATTAAAGTTTTTGTTATATGGATGGACAAATTTGAGTAGGAGATGTAGGATATGCGGTGTGGACATTCAAACGGCATATCAATAAATACCAACAGGAAAGGGAGTATTTCATAGTACAGGTGTGTGTTTCAGCAAATACATTTTCATGAAACTTTGATAGATTATACTCGGTACTCTGCAATAAAAGAAAACACATTTTACAACGATTTCATGGGCTTTCCTGCGCGAGGTATCGCACGTCTCTGAATTTTTCCGACGTATGTTGTTCTTCATGTTTATAGCTTACACTGAGTATACATAACGAATCATAGTAAGCTTTATTGGACTTGAATAAAGGTTCGAGTAAGTGCTTTTGGTTGTAAAAGTTCTTTCTGCGTTGGTTGTTCCGCATTCAAAGGTTCAACCACGAAATGTTTTTCATTTTTAACCAAAATTTTACTTACATACGGTTTTTAACGTAAATTATTTTGTTCGAGACTAAATGTATATCGTAACACCCGTACAAGCAACACCTGTATAATATATATATTTTTGGTTATTCCGACATATAACACTTGGAGATCTTTGTTTCGTTAACGATAGGCTGAACTTTGTGCCAAGGTTTTCTGCACCACAGTGACAAAAGTGTAACACATAGCATTAGTTTTCTTATTCTTGCTCTTTTTTACTCTTGGCAACAGTGACTCTGCAATTGGGTTATGTGATTGAGTTTCAAGAGCGCGAAATGTTCTCGCAGAGATCAAAGGGCCGAAGGTACCGGCATCGCGATACATATTGTCTTTGAGCGGAAACCATTAACATCCACAAGCTCTTCAAAGAGCTTCGAAACGTGAGTAATGTACCGTTCGTCGGCCCGTAACGTATATTGTTTTACTGCAGAAGCTCCATCACCAACGCGAGCAAGTACGCATAGCTTAGGGGTCCTATATACAAGCAAATCGGGAAATTCCAGCTCATAAAACTTCTTCCGTTCGTGTGATGCGTGTATAGGTGTGCATAATATACGCGGCGCACAAAAGCTCGTCGCCCCTGGGCCCACACGTATACATAAACTGCCATTCAAATGTGATCCCGTTGTAAAGATACCTAATTGCAGTCAATTGGCCGGTAGTACTTACGTAGTCATCGATGAAGCCCTCGGGGTCTAATTGCACTCATAAACCATACCGAGAGCCGCAAGTGAAAGTCAGTACAACTGGATTGGACGTCGAAATCTCAGGTATGCGTACGAAAACACGTATTGTGTGTATATGGCATCGGATACTCTCAGAGATGAGTAGACCTACTCATCTCTGATACTCTTTCCTGTTTTAATGCGACACTCGTCGAGGGGAACAACAACGGCGTACCTATAGTTATCCACATCGACAATCAATTGTCGGAGAGACATGACGACGGCATTTGAAAAAACACTAAAATTTAATTTTCCAATCCTACATGTGGAAAGTAACTCAGTTGACATAATATTGTTCTCTTTTGCGAACAAACTCTTGTACAGGAAAAAACAAGCCAAGGCAGATCTTTTTATAAATATCGAAAGCGAAAAGTGTACATGCTTGCACACGCATATGATCGGTATGTCTCATACCGATCATCCTTAAGCCGCATCCCCAAACGAGGAGAAAATTATTCAAAAAAATCCTCACCACCTTTATTATACCAAAGTCGGCCCATTAAAGGCTCATCAATCGCAATTGCGAAAACACGTATAACGAAAGAATCGGAGGGGGATCCCAACATCGGAGAAAATGGGCAGCCATGGTGGCGATCGTGTATACACCCACGTCACTTACTGCGAGGATATCCAAACTCCATCCGCACCGGGGGAGTACCACACCGTATACATATAGGTCGTACGGAGGCAGCCGAGATTCAGCAGCCGCACGGGAGGCATAACGATCTGCCGTAGCAGCAGCTAGGCGACGGGGGACGCCCCGCCTTCGGGAGCAGTGGCTGCCCCTTCCTTTTCGTCCTCTAGCGAGAGCCGTCTCCCGGCAGCCAACAACCGTGCGGCTCGCAATCGCTTGGGGGAGGGGCTCCAGCTCGGCTACTTCTTTCGCTGTCGCTCCTTTGGCAGCTGCCGTGTGCGCCTCTGCGCGTCGTGCCCCCCCGCATATATACATATACACATCACAGCAGAAGCGGTGGCAGCAACGAGTAGCCGAGCGGTGGCTGCAGGCCCCGATCTCTCTCTCTCTCTCTCTCTCCCTTCTTCTCGTCCTCGGCTCCCGAGGAGCTCTCGTGCTCGGCTTTGCCCCAGTACCTCGGCCGAGCTCAAGCTGCAAACGTTGCGTGCCACACGACTCGCAGCCGATACTTTCCCTTACCGATCTCTCACCGATCTTTCACCAGTGCGGAATTTGAACGAGCGAAAAAACTTTGACCTAACGTTTTGTGCGCCGAGTGACGTGAGTTTTGATTTGTAAGAAATTGAAAAAGAAAACATGCAGCCCTGCACGCGCTTCACCGAGTTGACAACGGCGTCGATGCGTGGCTTCCCAGCAACGGCGGGCTACAAGTTCGGGCCGCTGGTGCCACACGATGTCTGGAGCCAGTGGTTCCTGAGGAACAGGGGCACGACGACGGCCGCGAGCCCTGGTTACCCCGGCGTGACGCGCCAGAACCAGTTGCAGAGCCTCGCGAGCCAGTTGATTCAGGCGCCTCGTGGGTCGGCCTCGTTCGGGGGTCGCCGGCTGCCGGGCCAGAGGCCCAAGAAGCAGTTCATCTGCAAGTACTGCCACCGCGAGTTCACCAAGAGCTACAATCTCATGATCCACGAGAGGACCCACACGGACGAGCGGCCTTACCACTGCGACATTTGCAAAAAGGCCTTTAGGCGGCAGGACCATTTGAGGGACCATCGGTGAGTCGAGTTTTGCTTCAAAAGATATCTCTCTCTCTTTTTTTTTTTTTTTTTTTTTCTTTTTCTTCACGCAGATCTCGATGCTTTTTTTATGTCCGATAGTTTGCATTTTTTTTTCAAGTTGTACTTCCGTAGGCGCGTTTAAATCAACGATTTTTAAATTTGTACTCTTAAAAAATGTGTGACGGGGGTGAATTTTTACCGTCACTTCTAGGGAAAAAAAAAAGGATTTCATTTAGTGTTTATAAAATTTGTTTCTATTTACATATTTGATTTATTACATACAATATTTAATTTTTAACTAATTTTTGTTTTAACAAACATTTAATTTTGAAGTAAAGATCGCAATGAAATTTAATCAGTCAAATTATTAAAAAATGCTACAAGGACAATTGTACCACCTATGATATGTTATCGCAGTAGATTATATTCGTACGTCAACGGGGCTACAGAAGTACAACTTGGCACCCACTGGCTCTTTTTTTTTTTTTTTTTTTTTTCCTCGCACCCTTGCCGATCAGCAAAAAGTAAAGCCAAACTTCGATTCGCAGGTACATCCACAGCAAGGACAAGCCGTTCAAGTGCAACGTCTGTGGCAAGGGTTTCTGCCAGAGCCGCACCCTGGCCGTCCACAAGCAGGGCCACGAGGAGCAGCACCCCTACAAGTGCGGCGTTTGCTCGCGCGGCTTCAACCAGCGCAGCAACCTCAAGACCCACCTGCTCACCCACGCGGACGTGCCCCAAGACCTACGGGTCCTCGAGAACAACAACAACAACAACCAACACGAGCAACTGCAGTGCCAGAACAAGCTGAGGTCACCCGATTTTCAACAACAGTACCAGCAACAGGTGCTCCAGCAGCATCAGGCCCTCCAGTTACAGACGCAGCAGCAGATCTCACGCGACACCGGCAAACCACAGCCGGTCAAGCTGGGCTTCTCGATAGACGAGATCATGCGCCGTTAGCTCCGATTTTTTTTTTTCCCCCCTTTCGAGGGGCAAATCCGTTATCTCGATGTAAATAATGTATAAATTGTCGTGAAAGCTCGTTGAGGCTATTTGAATTTACTGTTATTGTAGCTTAGTCGGTAGGCGCCGCAGAGTCACTGCTAGAGATTCATCGCATTGTCTCTATGATCCACACACGAGTGATGGAGGTTTACACGTTGATCTGTGAGGAGATTGTAGTACGTGTGTTAAATGTTCGTTTTTTTTTTTTTTTAACTTTCTGTAGCTGATTGGTGGTCGCTTGGTTCACGGGAAAGTTGCAATGTGGCGTTGATTATATGTACATATATTCTTCTCCGTTGGAATACTGAATTACGTTTGCATCATGTTTTTCTTTTTTTTTTCTCAACATCATGTTTGTATGTGGACAAGATGTACTACTGATCCTTGTACGTTACCGATAATTTAAGAATCGACGAGCGATGACTTTGTTGTTTTTTTTTTTTTAGTATTTTTATTTTTAAGTTTTTCCTTGCGCATTCAGTGGAATACCGCATAAGAGTAAAACCATCGAGGTTTATTTATTTTTATTATTATTACTTTTTTTTTTTTTTTTTTTTATAAAAACTGTGCCCAAATTCTTGTAAAAGATGGCGCGAGTGCGTGATGACGTTCCTTTTTTTTTGTAACCATTATACGTACGTATAATGTACCTTCCGAAAAGAGACGGCTCGAGTATATTGGAACCGACAACCAGAAGAGCCGACAATTCGAGGCGTGAAAGGGAATATGCTACAATAGGGAAGGGAACGAAGGACTGCGAGCGCCGAAAAGTTTATTCTTTGAGTGAGAATCATTTGAGAGTACAATGTCCTTATGAGGCTGATGGATCATATATATATGTATAAAAGTGATCTAACTGTTACCACATGAACACTGCATAGAGACAAACTTAACTTTATGAAAAATACATTGTAGTGTACTATACAAAATGAGAGAAAATCATACCAAAAAAAAAAAAAAAAAATAAAACAAAATAAACTACACGAGGATGCGGCGCACAAACTTGATAATTGTAAGCTTAAGCCTGCAGTCCTAGTCGATGTACTTCATTGTAGATTGATTGTTACGTATTGTATAGAGATTGAATTCAAAGAAAAATACATCCGATCGATCCGATAAAAAAAAACAAAAAAAAAAATTGTCTTCTGATCATTTGTATACTTTGAACCCATCACGATAAAAAAATCCCTCTTGCTTCTTAATTATATCCTTTCAATCGCTGTCGTTGCAAACGGTGTTAATTAATCCTCTGCGATTCTTTGAAAAAAAAAAAAAAAAGAAATAAAGGTAAATTTCCAAGGATTTTTACTGTATACATAAGAAAAAATTGAAAAGGATCCAACTTTAAGTAAAAATATGACTACATCCATGCAAGGATCGAGGTAAGTGCGATGGCGATCGTAATTATTAATTAGCTGTGCCGGCGACGGCCATCGAGAGCTCAACGTGCCGCTCATGGGTAAACAGGCTGCTTATTTCAACGCCGATCACCAACGGTTCAATCTTCGAAAAATGGCCAATAACGAGCAGCCCATTAACCCGCTTTGGCCCCGTCCAAGCGAGACGAGGGTGAGGTTTGTTTGATTTTAATTAGTTGCCCTATAAGCTGGCACTCCGTTACTCGGGGTCATAAAATTTGATGAAAAAGCGAGCAAACAACATCCGACGTGACGCCTAGAGAGCGGGCGCCCTTCCGGTACCTGCATCTTTATTTGTGGGGGTTTCCTCTCTCTCTCTCTCTCTCTCTCTTTGCCTTCGCTGTACATATTTCTCTTTTCCCCCATTCTTGTTTTCTGACGCTGCTGTCGTTACAGTGTCGTTTGGTAACCTTACAAAAGTCACGTATTTTATTGCCGATACTCGGATTTCTCTCTAATTACGCCGCTCGGAATGCATGTGATCGATCGTTGTTTATTCGATGATTATTGCGATCCAATCGGAGTACATTACGAAATCCAAAGGTTTCTTTGTTCAAACATGTTCTCTCCTAGTAGGGCAAAAAGCAACCGTCAAGTACCTCAATAGTATGTTACTACCATGCCCACACCTGCCAAATTCTACTTACCTATCCTGGGCTTCTCGAAAACCTACGAAACTCTTTTGTTATCTGCAAAATCCCCCCAAACATTGGAACCATACCACCAACAAATTTAGAGCCCCACATCACCCCCACACTTATTTTTTCTGGGGTGACATGAGTATGTGTTACAAATGTAATAGATTTTTTTTTTTTAATCATTAAAGATTTATTATCTACTATAGATTCTCCATCCATCCACTAATTACCACTTAACTTCTTTCCAAGTCTCTATCAACAATTGTAGCAATTTATTCGGAATCATTGCAAAAAATTTCCTCAATTTTCTAATCAACTCTACATCAAGATCTCTTGCAGTTGTTTAAACATTTTTTAAAATAAACACTTTGTTTTTTGAGTTAACAATAAAAAAAAGTTTTGAGAAGTTTGTCGATTGCTGTTAAACTATACTCATAATGTAAAAACATGTGTGAATTCTCGGTTACGTGAGATTGCAAGTAGCTATACTTTTTGAACAATTGAAAAATGTTTACGAAACATAAAAACCATCAATATGGTAATCAAAGTTTTTTCGTTACTCAGATACAAAGATGAGAAATTTTTTTGATCAATACGGAAGGTCAATCGATCGAATGTTTGACAAGACAACGAAACCATTGAATGACCTTTTATTAGGAAAAAAAAGGCACCTTTGCTCCCAAACCTGACAGAGCTAATAATTGGTTTTGCCCACACGCGGACTGTTATTTGTGAAATCGAAAGTCGATTATGGAATTATACAACGATCAGTACGATTCGCGTCCAGAGTTGAAATCGAAACTTTTGACACTTTTCAGATCGGAAAGAAAAAAAAATGGCCATAATAACAAAGGAAGCAGCATCAAAACGGGTGCCTCTTGTTTTTTTCTTCTTCTTTTAATTTCCTGTGATTCCACTTAATTTCATAATTCGTATCAAAACGTTCCTACGTTTTCGGGTAGCCAGCATCAGACCGGGTAGCCCCGCGCACCGTGTAATTACCATCCGGCATGGGAGAACGAGGGAGACAGGCCTCGGACCCGTCCTTGAGACATCGTCCACGTCTCTCCTTACCCACAGCGCTCATAATGTACAAAGAACCAAGAGAGAGAGAGAGAGAGACTCTGCGACCTAGAGAACGGGCCCAAAAGATGAAAAATGACGCTACCTTTTTGTTGTTCGGGCCGGAGAGTCGAAAAAAAGGGAGGTAATGCCCCGAAAAGACCAAAGGGGGAGGGGGGGGGAAATATGGATCACCGTGACTACGTAGGCGGACGAAATAATGATGATTTTTTTTTTCCCTCCCCACACGTATCATTTCTGCGCGCGAACCCTGCAGTTTCCTACTCCTCCCACTCCCTTAGCCCCTCGTTCCATGTATATCATGATGCCCACGAACGCGCGCGAGCTGAGCTTGATTTAGGAAGCGATTACCTTTCTGGGCCTTTCTTTCGCCAGGGACAGCGCGGATCCCGAGAAATTGCCACTCTGATTATTGTAATTAAAGCGTTTCTGGCGACTTAGCTAAAGAGCCGCGCTTGGTGCCCCGTGTGTGTGAGAATATTCGTGGCGGCTACCTGGGATACACTCACGTGAGCTTTTGTTACGCGGGTGTAGGTATATACATACATGGATGCGTGGCAAAACAAAGTAGTTTTTGGCGGAGCTGATCCTTGCAGTGACGAGCGCGGCTCGTGCCTAATGACAGAGGTGATGGGAGTCGTTGCTATGGCTTTCACGGATTTTTCGGCCATTATATGCGCCGAGAGTTTACGGAGGGACGGACTTCTGGGCGAATCCGGGTGAGATTAATACATACTGTTTTTCTTTCCCCTTCTTTTCATACGTATTCAATGACACGCGAGAAAACGAATCGGCGATTAATTTTTTGTGCAGCCGTAATGGTCATTTGGAGGGATCCTTGTCGGGCTTCTGCATTTAGATTAGCGGGGTACCATTTGGGCCCATTTAATCGCAAGAATTTCAGTGGACGGCTCTGTTTTTCCATTATTGTGTTTTTACAAAAGAGCAAGAACACATAGCCAGTAAATAACTAAAGAATTCCATCGATGTACAAAATTATAGGCAGTTGCATCAAGTTCTTTGATTTTAATATTAATAAAGAGAATACTTGATATTATAATGATCATATTTGAAGTTGAGGAGGACAACGAAAATGACAAATCTGTCAAATGTTTTTGTTAGTTCGGTCTCTCTCCTTCTAATGTGCTTCCCGAAAATCTAAATCATTTTCTGATCTACGATTTTGAATCATGGTGCTCCGAGCGGTACAATCAGTCATACATCAATAAACTTAAGCAACGAACTTTCACACAACGACCGGATAAGTTACAGCTTGTAAGTTGAAACTAGAAGTAAGTCGGTGCAATGAGAGCGTGGGACCTGCCGCATGACAGAACCGTCCGCGCAAAGTCGCCGTACAACCCAGATTAGATGACTGAATGGTATTTACGACACACAAGAGGACGCGCGCTTTTTCCGTATGCTAAACACGTCTAGTGTTTCAAAAACGCTCAAAAACTTTCCACCCTGCACCAGCAAGCGCATAGTACGTGCACTGTACGGGCGGTCATACAAGAATATACACTTTTATCTATACGAGCGGGCTCTGCAGCTGTACCATCCCGGCGATTAGTGGCCGTATTTGTCTTCAACGACTTTTCGCGGAAGGCCCTCTTTCCGTCCGTAAAATGTTGTTTCGACGGGTCAACCATGAGTACATCCAACGTAGGTTTTGCTCACGAGTGCTTGGTTTTTGCAAGAAGAAAATCATGAGCAATCGTGAACGCACAAGTCATCCGAACCGAAATGGGTATAGGTATGATGTACATAATATGAACGCCACAGCCGTGCCCAGACGGGGGCCGCTGAAATATCC